AACTAGTCATTTATCTCAGGTAAGGGATGTTACCTCTTACAATAAATGCTGGAAAAAATTCAAATCGAAAATTAATTAGATCATAGGATAGGTAACTATGACCATTTTTGTGCCACATGATTTTAGTACTTTATGTCAATTCAGTAATATACAAAGGTTATCAAAAATATAATACGCAAAAGTTATCAAAAATATGATCTATTTTTTTGACACGATGTGAAAGTACTCAAAGACAGTAACTATATGAGAAAGAGTTTTAGAATCGAAAAATATAGCAAGCTTTCAGTAATACGCAAAGGTTATCAAAAAAATAATATACAAAAGCGATCAAATTTTTTAACGTAAAGCAAAGTACTCGAGCACAATTATATCAAAAATGTAATACGCAAAAGTTATCAAAAATGTAATACGCAAAATTTATCAAAAATGTAATCCAATTTTTTGACACGATGTGAAAGTACTCGAAGGCACTAACTATGCGAGAAAGAGTTCTAGAATTGAAAAATATAGCAAGCTTTCGGTAATACGTAAAGGTAGAATAATATAAGGAAAGAGGTAAGAAAAAATTGTGCTTTTACGTATTACCAAGTAGGGATAACAATTCGGCACTACGTGCCTCATCCTCGGGTCACCAAATAGGATAACAATTTGGCACTACGTGCCTCATTCTCAGGTTACCAAATAGGATAACAATTTGGCACTACGTGCCTCATTCTGATTGCAAATTAATTTCCAAATCTGGCTCATTATTAATATCTTCATCCATGTTTAGTCTTTCATTATAAGATTTTGTCAGATCATCAATGACACCTGAAAGATAGGAATAACAGTAATTGCATTGAAGTCTTAACACCCAAAAACATTCTTCGTGGTAAGAATGACCACATAATAATACTTGAAAATCTGTACTTGATATTTTACAATTATCATAATCACATAACTTTTCAATAATTGGTGATGTTTTTGTATGGTACCCAAGTGGCAAAGCACCAGCACAGTAACCAGATTTAATTGGCAAAATATAATAATAAGGTTTTTTGATTTTTTTGCCTTCCATTTTCTTTTCTATTCTACCATAATTTTTTGAAATCTCATCAAAAAAATCCAAAAGAAATAATGCAATTTTTTTAATTAATTCATCAAGATCTTTTTTTTTATAAGGATAATCTTTTTTTGGTGCAAATGATGGCATGAAGTTATTTTCATATTTGCAATGGTCAATAAATAATGCATCATGCCTGAGAGACTTGGCTGTGTTCACTTTTGCATTTGTGTGTCTTTGAACCAAACTATGGAAATTTTCTACACAATATTCATCCAACTTATTTAAATTATTCTTCAATGTATTGTGAGATTGTAAACCGTGGACCAACCAATTGACCGTTAATATTGACCAATTAGAACGAACTTACTACGGAAGTCATGTGATGCGCTAAATATTACATCACGATTAACAATCATCTTTCTATATTTATTGCAACGGTTGCACATCATGTTACACATGTAGATCATTACATCATTTCTATTTTTAACTTATTTTATGACATAATTATTTACTTCGAATTATTAATCAAATTATTTGTAATAATGACTCATAGGATTAGTAATTATGAGTCATAGCATTAGTAATTAGCAATTAGTAAGCTAGTAATACAGAAAATAGGATTAATAAGCATATTTTATTGGATAAAATATTGTAAAGGTCATGTTATTTGTAATACCTCAAGAGGTATAAAAAGGTTTGGTTTTAGACCAAGTGAGAAGGAAGATCATGTTAATAACATTAATAATAATTGAATAAATAATCCCCCCCCCATTGTTAATAATTAAATAAACACATTTTACCTTATTACGAATTTTTGCATAGTTAATAGGAAAAGCCATTGTAAATTGTTCCATGGTCCTCTCTGATGATTAGTGGCTGGCCACTAATCATTAGTTAGGAACCCCCCCCCCCC